CGGTTGGTTTGCGAGGGGTGTGGGCGGGGCCTTGTGTGGGCGAGGCCCGGGAGTGGTGGTCGGGGCCTGGTGTCTTCCGGCTGGGAAGCCGATGGGGTTGTAATTGAGAGGGGATACCCGAGGGGCCCAGCGAAGGTGCTGAGTGACAGCTGACCCCCGCCCCCCAGCGTGATCGCGGGGTCACACCTACTTAGGAGCCGCTTCTCCAAGTTAATTGCTGGCTACGCGCCTTTATCACAGAGACCACTTGTGTTTAAAACTTAAAACAGGGGAACGGGGCGGTGAGAACTTCCCGTGAAATATGTTCGTTAAAGTGCAGATTTTAGTCTGCACATTACATGAGTTATTAAATTTGAATAATGTCTTTGAAATGGACATTTATGCTTTTTAACTGCTAATTATTTGTTCTAAAATAATGAATTACAACGGATCATGGTAGGGGTCTAGCTAAGAAAACTCGTTGGCGGGAGAAAGGTGTTAACCACTCTGGGTGTCAAATGCGCTGGGAGGGCCCTGCCCCCCGCCCCCGCCCCATCCTTCCATCCGCACTCCCACTCCCAGGTTTCCGCTAGTCATCTGCGTGGTCTGACCAGTCTGCCCTTCAGCCTGAGTAGCAGTAGCAAATGCCCCCCTAGTAGCCCATGGGACGTGGGGAAATTACTGAACTAAGGGCATTTTAACTGCAATCTCCCAGGGGCAGTGTTCTTTTGTTATCTATTTAACCGATTAAAGTGAAGACCCTACAGGTGGTCAGCAATGGTGCCCCTACAAGGACCTGTTAACAAGAACGATGCCAGCACAAGTGTGACGCCTGAGGATGCCGCACCCAGGCTTGTCAAGTAACTCTGCAGACCTCAGTCCCCACATGCGAGCGGGGCTGAGCTCCTGGGTGCAAGGACACCTGCACTGTCCTGGAGGCCTAAGGAGAACTCTCTGTGGACACACTGGAGGGCCAAGCAGTAGCCGTGCAGAAGCGTGTGTGGGAGTCGCCTCCCCACTGCTCTCCTGTCCTCCGGTCCCTGAGCTGGGAACCCACACGCACCGACTGCAGGTCCCAGCGGAACTTAACAGCCGTGCGAATTTGGTGAGTGTTACTGGCACCCCGGCCCCCGGAGCCTTTTTCCGGACTCTCTAGGCTCCCGCCCTGTCTCAGTGGTTCTTCCGGTCCTTTAGTTCCGCCTCTTCCTTTTGCCCGGCGAGATTTGACGAGCTCTCGCGAGACCCAAGCCTCTTCTCAGGCCGGCGCTCACCCAAGTAAGTGTGGGGCCTCCTGTGCGCGCGAGCTTTTCTGCCGATTTCGAGGGGGAGACGCTTTGGAGGCAGCTCTGGAGCGGCGGGCCCTGCTCGCCGGGTGGGGATACCGCGGAT